TTTATTAAAGTTCCTTTGAATGTGATGTGCCTTTTACTCTAGATGTTTTTAACATTTCCCCATTGTTTTTGGCTGTCAGCAATTTTACTATGATATTCCTGAATGAAAATTTGTTTGTATTTATGGTGCATGGAGTTTTAAAATTTCCTTATGTCTTTAAAAGAAAAGTATGCCATCTTTCCCTGTTATCTAAAAGAATGGCAAGTGTGTTAGTTTGCCAGGCTGCCATAAAAAGGTACAACATGCTGGAAGGCTTAAACAACAGAAATTTATTGCTTCTGCTCTATTCTTTGTCTACTCACATTTGGGATATCAATTATACATATCATAAATCTTTTATTGTGTCCGTGGGTTTCTTCTGCTCTTTTACTTTCTATTTTCATTTCTTATTGTCCTCTCTTTTTCAGATCAAAGTTTTTTTTAAAATTTATTTTTATTCTAATCCACTAATCAATCTGACCTTCACCTGCTTTTCCAGTTACTTATACTCTAGTTTACTAATTCTGTCTTCATCCATGTCTAAATAGCCTTTAAATTCACCCATTGAGTTATTAATTCTAATTGGTATACTTTGCCATTATAGAATTTCATTTATTTTTAGTAGCTTCTCATTCTCTGATAATATTCTCTATCATGTCATTTGTTTTCTTGGACATTAATCTCCCAAATTTAAAATCTTTCAGATACTTAGTATCTGAATGTACTGAAGGACTCTACATTTTGTATGTGTGTTCCTCTTGACCCTGTGTCTTATAATTCCTGTGATACTGGAGGTAAAAACAACTAAAAGAAATAACTGAATAACTAAAATGGTAACCTCCATGTAACCCAAAGGAGTGTGGGGTAGTAATGGGGGGACATGAGGGCAAGGATTTAAACAGACAAGTCTCTCAAGCATGTTTTTCTTTATATCGCTTTGCTTTCTAATGCCTGTAATTATACTATGAATTTAACAAATAAATTTCAATTAAAAATTGAAATTTCAAATACCATGAAAGTCAAAACTTAAAGGCATAAATTATGAAATCATTATCAAATAAGTGATTATTAACATTGTGAGAGTTGGGTAGGATGGAGTAACTTGCAACAGACCACTGCTCCTATAGGGCATGATTAGAGAAGATGGATCAAATGATAAACATCATATTGTTTAAGGCAGAAAGCAGAGGACTAGAGGAATTGAAATTCGAGAGAGAGAAGAAGGTTTTAGAGGTGAATCAGGATCTAAAGCTTTCCCTGAAATCCTTGATGGTTCTTGAGAAGGGGTAGATGCTGATACTCTGGACCAGGTCCAGTCAGCAGACATTTGGTCCTATTAGATGTCCACAAGGACAGCTTGTCTATACCATAAGGTGTAGATATTTGGTTCTGTCCAAATGTTCCCAGAGACATTTGGTCCAGAGTTAATACAATCCTGCTCTTCTGCAAGATTCAAACCCAGACCCATCTCCATCACACTGGCTACCAAGGCAAGAAGAGTGATTCTTGGAAATGCAGCCCCAGCACAATTATTAAACCTATATAACATGGTAGTATTTTTATGTATTAATCCTGTAAACCCAAAGTAGAAATAAACTTTGTGGGTGGTTTGAACACAGGGATATTTTCTATGGACTTTCCATAGATTTTTTTGACAGGACCAAATATTGAGGACCATTTGTCATGGACTAATATGCTTATGGTCAAAATGGAGAGGACCAAGTGTCCTGCAAGGCTAGATCCAGGTGGAAGGTCACTACTGGGAGAACCGCAAATTAGCAGACCTTTGCTGCTCATATGAAGTTAAGGATGACAACATTTTTTTCCTCTGAAGAAATTTTTTGAGTTTGAAGCTGTGTGAGGCTTAAGTCTAAATAGAAAAGTATCATGATTTGTCTGTATCTCTTCATCAATGTGATTATTAAGAAAAATTAGTTCTTCCATCTTTCCCTTTCATTCCTCATTATTTTAATATGTTTGTGTCTTCTCAACTATGATAGACACCATGGATTCAAATAAGAAGATAGATGAAAACTTTAAGGGAAAAAATGGACTAAAAGAGGAATAAAAGTGACCGGGTTCCTACTGCCTTAATGGATGTTTAAGAGTGGGAAGAGAGACAGGAAAAAATAAACAAATAAATAAATTAGGTTTCACTAATTAAGTATTTAATAATATTGCAATTAACTATTTAAGTAAATACTTAAGTATGCAATTAAGTATTTAATTGCAATACTAAAACACGCTGCAAAAAAAATAGAAAAATGCAATGAGAAAATTATAGGATTATCTAATTTAGTCTGGGCATTCAGAGAGGGTATGCTGAAGAAATGACACTTAAGCTGAGCCCTAAAGGGTGGGGACAAGTATTTCACTCAGCGGGAGAAACACACGTAAAGATTCTGATGCAGCTTTATAAGACTGTTCGTATTTTTGAATGTTGTGAACAAAGAGAGTAAGAAAGACAACAGTTGCGAGGTGTCATGGAATGAGACTGGTAAGATTGGATGACCCTTGAACCTTTGTTTTTTTTAATTCTAGATTTTATCCTAAGAACAATAGGAAAACTTTGAAGGATCCTAGTGGAGCAGTGAAATAATCAGACCTCCACCCTTAATAATATCAGTGTGTCTCTATGTGGAAAGTGGAATGAAGGATAATAGTGTTGGGAGGTATGAGAGGTAAATTAGGAAGTCATTTCGGTTTTATTTTAAGGCAGAAGATATAGGCTTGGAATAGATAACTGGACTTAGAGATGTAGAAAATCAGAAAAAGAAATATAAAAAAAAAAATTGTTTCTACCTTATTTTTGGCCCTGGCTGGCGTAGCTCAGTGGATTGAGCGCGGGCTGTGAACCAGAATGTCGCAGGTTCAATTCCCAGTCAGGGTACGTGCCTGGGTTGCAGGCCATGACCCCCAGCAACCGCACAGTGATGTTTCTCTCTCTCTCTCTATCTCCTTCCCTTCCCTCTCTAAAAATAAATAAATAAAATCTTAAAAAATAAATAAATAAAATAAAATTGTAAAATAACAGTATTTGATTATTGATTGCAGTGAATGGGGAACAGGATGGTATCAAGGATGCCACTTTCTAGGTTTTGGGCTTGAAAACCACATGGATGATGGTTCCCTTCTTGTGATAGGGAGCATTAGGGGAAGAACAGCTTTAGGGTAAGGCAGGAACTGAAGTCTACAACTGATGCCTTCTATGAAAGACATGGACTGAAAATGTACATTTAGAAGTTGTAAGAGATAGTAGGAACTGCCTTTTACATTTTGAAAGAGTACTAACAAAATTTTTGTTTACTCCCTGAAGTTCTTAAATCATCCTATCATAACCTTGCTTGTTAGAATAATAAAATGCATTTACTTTGTTATTAAAACATTGCAGTTTTTCATTAATTTTTTTATAAGTATCTGTTATTTATTTTTGTGTTGTTCATTTAACTGAGTTTGGAAAATCCTGGGAATCATTAATCTTTCCATCTTGTTTTGTATATCAGTTAGGAAGGGGATTGTAATCAAACTGAAGATACATAAATACTTCTAATGACTCTACTTATGAGTTATGGTCTGCTCTATAGGTGCTTCAGAGAGCAGCAGTATTACATTCCATATAAGAAAACTACTTATGCTAAATGAAGCAGAACACTCAATTGCAGCTAAGCATGTAACTATTTCCACTTTATACCAAAACCTTTACACTAAAGTGTGGTTCTAAAATGTGAAGCTTTACTTATTTTATCTCTCTTTAATGAATCTGCTCAGAACAAAAGTATAAAATCTTTTATTTAAAACTAATCATTTGAGAATTGGTTCATTTATTTTCATTTTACTAGTAGTAAGCATTAGAGGAAAAGATATATTTTCCAGACTGGTACAGGTGGAATTATCTCACTTTCTGAAAAATAATCACAAAATATTATACATATGCTACATTTTAATAAGTTGAGTGATGTTGGGTGAAAATATTTGTCATGCTAGTTTTCTGTCCAAGTTCTGGAACAGGAAGCAAAGGACAAGTATAGAGTTTACTTAAAATATTCATTTAAAATATAGCTAGTTTTTTATAGTTCCAATTCCTAAAAGGTTGAAATTTTTAAATTTGTTTTCCATTTATTTTCCAAACTACAATGTATGATATTATGCATTATTTTTCTTTTTGAAATAAGTATTTAATTGGCCAATAGAAAATACAGAGATCTTCATTGTTTTTATTTGGGAACTTTATTTTTTATATATTTTAGCTTTTGAATAGTAAGGTAACAGTGAGAGGTCCAACAGGAAAGAGATGACACCCCCAAATTAGGGCAACTCAAGCAAGGTTGACTAAAGTGGCCATTTAAAAGGACAGCAGGGTTTAGGGAATCCCCAGGTATAATGCAGTACCTCTGGGTTCCACCCCAGCCAGGCCCAAAGCAAAATGGATAGGAAGGACAGAGACTTGTATGGAGAACCTCTTTGTCTAGGGACCAAGTCATCCTGAAGGAACTCTTCAGGGATGGAGTTTGGGGATGAAGATCTTGATGTCACTTTCCTTCCTCACTGTGGAGGGTTCCATTGGCAGAACCCAATGAGAAGGCAAGAGAGCCTATTGATATAGTCCATTTAGGTCAGCCCATTCAGGGCAAACAGAAGGGTGAGAAATGTAGAGAGTGGATCTTCCGGGGGCAAAAAGAATAATCTAAGACAATGAGAGTGTACCACAGAATGACAAAAGAGAAGTGGGAAAGGTGGTGGTATGACTGTTTTTTCAGGATTCAGGGACAGAGGGTTTGGGTCATCACTGCCTACTCCTTGTGAAGTGCAAGAAGCTTTGGAATTGGTTGGCAAGGGGCAGGATTTGGAGAACTGGGAGGAGTAGCAATTCTATAGTTAAAGCAGGCTGTACTCTGTTAACTGACCAAAGATTCTTAGTTTAATTCATGCACAGGAAGGAAAAGTTCACCTAGAACCTAGAGAATGTTCTCTGTAACTAACAATAATGATGCTTTGATGATATCATTGAAATTTGCTTGCAGGATCGTACCTGACAAACAACGTTGTCTGGCTTTGGGCATGAGTTTTGTGATTTTGAGAATATTTGGTATGTACTTTTAGTAATCTTTTATTGTATCAAAATTTTACTATTTTGATATGTGTATATGCATATTTTACATACATATTTATGTAAAAATATATATGTTTACATGTATATTTATAATTTCAAATAAATAATGAAGGTAAACAGAAATAAACCAAGTGAAGGAGGAGCTGCTTTGCAGAATTTAGGAAGTAATACTTAATGTAAAAAGATAATAACTAATGTAAACCCTATTCTGCCATATAAAATATGCATTAATATTGTATTCAATTGGGAGAGATAATCCACTTGATCACAAGTATGTTCACTAAGCTCACACAAGTGGTTTGGTAGCTGAAATAAACACTTATATGAGCTTAACAACTACACATTGCTTTGTATTTGGGAAGTCAGTAACCTAAACTACTGCTTTTAAACATTTCATTACCAAAGTGACTGAATCTGATATTTTTAAGGATTTCCACCAAAAGAAAGAATTAGTTTTGCTGAGGGTAATATACTCTGTACTCCATGCTTTCTTAAAATAGCAAAAACTAGCTTTCAAATCCACATTAGGACTATATTAGGGCCCCTGATTCAAGGAGCTGATTGAACATATTGGTGGGGTAAGAAAACAAGATTGGCCTGGATTGAAGACTGACACATGATAAATGCAGTCAAGAATGCAGACATAATTTTAGTGTGGCTCTGATGTGAACCAGAGAAACCATTCCAGACCTACATCAGTAGGGGGTTTAAATTAGCTTTAATAGGGAAAAAAAAGAGGATATTTTTATGGTGCACAATGATCCACTAGAGAAGGACAGGCTTGTAATGGAAGAGAGAACATAAGAAAACTGCATAGACAGTTTCCTGCATCAGAAACAAACCCATTGAAAGTGATGCATTTTTTAATGAAAGTGGGTAGAATAAGATGATATTTTAGATACAGACTCTCTGGACAGGGCTTTGCTATCAGAGAATTTTAAGCAGAGGATAGATATTATCTGATTTACATTTAAAAGATAACTCTGCTACTGGAGGGAGAAATAGTTAATAGAATATAATGTGGAGAATATGAAAAAAGGAGGCTTTTACTGAAATATGTCCTAGTCACATTAGATTGGTGTCTGGGGCTTGTCATAGAGACAGAGAGAAACCAGCATATCCAATCTATGTTTTCAGTTAGTGTTACAAAAATTTATCATGGATTGGGAATGCATAGTAGGCCGAGGGTTTTTTACCTTGAACAATTACAAACAGAGTGCCAGCCCTCATTGAAACAAGATTTCTGGTGTTAGATAGTAGTCTTTGGCAGAAATGAAATCATGAGGCATGAGGGCCCTCATAATTTATTAAAGAAGATGGTCAGTCATTAGACATGTTAGTTTTCAGAACCTGGTCCTGGTGTCTTCGGGGTGGCTTTATAAAAATGACTCAATTCACCTTTACCTGCAAGTGACACTGTTGCCGAGCAGACGCGGCCTCCGAGGGTAGTAGAGGCTTCATGCAGGCAGCAGCGCTCAGCTGTTCTGCGAATGTGGACTGGCAGTCATCTGAACCCAGGACCGCTATTAACACACCAAAGTTTAAGTTATTCTCCTCAATATTTTGATAAATAACAGATACACATTTGATTATAAAATTAATTTTTCAGTTATTGAAAATTTCATAATTTGAAATTTTTGGAACAACACTGAGTACTGAAAATCAGTATTTAGTATCTCTGTTGAAAATACTTTGTGCTAAGTTTTCATTAAAAGATTAGCCATTATGAGATGCCAACTAAGAACATACACACCTTTGTGAAAAGATGCAAATCTACCAATTTTTTATACTTATAGGGATAAAATTTTTTTCAAAATCATATTGTTTCCAGTTATTAACAATCCTATTTGTAAGTAAATTGTTAGATAATTTTCAATGATATGTTTGATAGCGATGATGTCTAAATATATATGTAGAAGTTGAATTTTAGGATAAAAATTATTATGATCCCAAACTATAGTGTTGTCATGAAGAATTGACAATCCCTGCATTTTTTCATAGGGAGTATACCTGGACCAATAGTGTTTAAAATGGTAGGAGCAAGTTCTTGTACCTTTTGGGACAGTGGGCACTGTGGAAACAAAGAACACTGTTGGATCTATAACAAGACAAAAATGGCCTACATGGTTTTAGGAATAGGTAAGTCATATCTACTGAAGAATTGTAGAGAGGTAAAATTATTTTTAAAATTATGATTGTTCATAGTAAGTTACAGTAACAATAATGAGCAAATGGATACTTTGATGATTAAAGAAGCCTTATATTACTACATAACAATATTTTGGAAACTAAAGTACTATAGAATATATGTAAATAATTGAGTCATTGTATTAGATATACAGTTGTTTTATATTATTCCTGAATAAAGGGTGAAAATTACTAGATTTTCAATTTGGGAAGTAGTTTTACCTATATACATATTCAGCCAAGTTGTTTGACCCTGCGACCCTTTCCATTTCTACCATGAAAGATTGGATGATTTAAAAAAAGGTTTTTGCACCACTAAAGAGCATCAACATACTCTTACCCTACTTAAATATAAGTTTCATATTGTCTCTTATGCTCAATGATGTAACAGTGCTTGGCACACAGCAAGCATTCATTGAAGAAGTGAGAGGTAGAGGACTTGACATGCCGTGGGGGTGTGAGCTACAGCCAAAGTGCTGGGATAGTCTAGATACGTTTGTATGAGTTTGGATAATTCAGTAGATCTTCCTGCATCTTTATTCATCTGTAAAAGGAGGATTTGGCGCTATATAATTTTGAAGTCTTAATCATTACTAACATTGAATGATGTTATTGTATAGATGCTATTGGTGTGATAAATATTTTTAAAGTGATTATATGTTTTGTGATTTTACTAACTGGGTTCAGTAATTCAAAGAACCACATAATGTTAGACTCTAATGTTTAACAATAACAATTACCTGTTTGATAAAAAATATAGAGCAATGCCTTCTAATTCAGAAATTAATTACCTGGAAATTTAGTCAACACTTAACCTGAAAAGTAAAATTTAAGAAAAAATTAAAAAGTCAAAAATGACATTTAAGAAATCAAAATAAATTTCTCAGAGGCAATTCAACAAAACTAGGCATTGTTCCTAAGGACATCCTCTTAAAATACTGCTGAGCCTTTCAATTTTATGCTAAACTACCTTTAAACAGAGTTCATAATTGAGAATGATGATAAACTACTCAGTCCTTTTAAGGAGCTACTAAAAGGAGATCACAATAATAAAAACATGGGAAATTACAGTAAGAGAAGGCAAATACAGGAAACTGTGATAGGAATATGCATTTGTGGCAATTTTGTGTAAACCAGTACATTTTAAAGTATATTTCATAAGTCACTTGAATCAGAAAAACTTGGAGTGCTTGCTAAAAATATAAGTACTGAAGCCCTGAATTAGGATCCCAGGGATTAGAGGTAGGCATGCATATTTTTAATAAAGCACTTCAGGTGACTATCTAGAGTACCGGAGATTCTAGAGCTATTCTGTTAATATGGTGCACCTTAACCATGTATAGGTATTCAAAGAGAAATGAAATAAAATTAAATACAATTAGAAACTCAGTTTCACATCAACAAAAGCTGAATTCCACCTGTTTGATAGTCACGTTGGACTGCTCTGTTGGACAGAGCAGGTGAAGAGCAGTCATTGCAGTGGGATGTACTCAGTGTGTGACTACGGCCACGATGGAGCAAGTCTCATCCAAAAGAGATCCGTGGACCCTAGAAGCCCACACTAAGCTTTAGTATATCTTTGAAACCCTAAAATTCTTTTCATTCAGTTTATATCCAAGAAGTTTTTTTTTCCTGTGGAGGGAGGCAGTGGCATTCACCATTCTTAGAAATTTTATCACTCAAAAAAGTTGGTAAGAAATTTGTTATATCAATCCTTCAGTTCTCTGTGGTAGCAAGAAAATTCTTCTGATCTTTCTCTTAATTTTCATTGGAATGACTCACTACATATGTACATTACATACATACTTTTACCTTAAATGAAGGATTCTATCATCTTTCTTAAATTGCACTAGAGAGATGATTTATAAGTCTTTTGCAAACATGTCCTATGTTAACTTGCTATGTTTACCACTTCATTAGGCTTGTTTTATATTATTTTTGGAGAATTTTTATTGAACTATATATATTTTCAGAAAAGGACACATAAAATATAATTCAACACATTTTTATAAAGTGAACATATCTGTAATTAGCATTAATATCAAGAAATATATATATATAGGAATTAAGAAGTGAATTTAGTATGCTCATTAAATATGCAATCAATATATACAAATCAATTGTGTTTCTATATACCAGGTATAAGCAAATAAAAAATAATACAATAACTAAAATAACATAAAAAATAACAAGAAAAATATCTATTGAAAGTGGTATAAAAACTGTATACTAAAGACCACAAATTTCACTTAAGAGATGTTAAAATATAAATACAGTGGTACCTTAGTACTTGTCAACTTCAGTACTCTTCAAACCTGGTACTTGTCTCATTGATGAGAAAAAAAAGATTTCAGCACTCAGTGCTTGCACACCACGCTTCGCACATATTAGAACTTGTATGAGTTACAACGCCACCCCACAAGAGAAAATGCTTCATCAGCTGTCGCTTGCTCACCTCTCATTGGAGCAAATTAATGATGAGTACTGAGGCACCACTGTAAATGAAAAAATGCATATGCTTCCAGATATAAAGACTTGAAAATGCCACTTCTCCTAAATTAATTTATAGCATCAAGAGATCACAAACAAAAATCCCACAAGGTATTTATTTTTTTTTTAAATTGACAAGGGAATTGAAATTCACTTGAAGGTCAAAGGGCCAAGAGAATCTTGAAGATGAAACAAAATTGAAGGATATATTCTACAGATACCCAAACCTATTATCAAGCTATCAACACAGTAGGATAGTGAGTGATACAAATGTCATCACACTGACCAATGGAACAGAGCAGGGGTGTCAAACTCATTTTCACCAAGGGCCACATCAGCTTTGAGGTTGCCTTTGAGGGGCTGAATGTAATTTTAGGACTGTGTAAATGTAACTACTCCTTAAATAGGGGCAAGGAGCTTGGTGCTGCCTCTGGGTAGAAACAAGGTGCCAGGCCAGATAAAACAAGGTGGAGGGCTGGATTTGGCCTGCGGGCCTTGTGTTTCCACCTTCGGAACAGAGGACCCAGAAACAAACCCACACCTGCACACTCAACTGGGTTATGGTGAAGAAAGACAATGAAATGTTAAAAAGATGGTCTTCAAACAGGGTAATGGCTCATTTTATATATGCATATCTAAAAACATATCTTGATCCCTACCTCAAATCATATGTACAAAAAGCAATTCTAAATGCATAGCAGATGTAAATGTAAAAGATAAAACAATCAGTACTTTTGAGAAAAACAGGAGAGTATCTTCATGGCCTTGGAGTAGGAAGAAATTTCATAAACAGGATACCAAAAGCAGTAGCTACAAAAATCAAGCTATATGAAAACTAATAAATTCTGATCATCAAAAGAAGTAATTAAGAGAGAGAAAAGAGAGCTGCAGTGTAGAAGACAGTGAAAAAGGTGAAAAAGAACAAATGTCCAAAATATATAAAGTACTCTCACAAATAAACACTAAGCAAAGGAGTAATAACTTAATAGAAAAGTGGACAAAAGACTTGAAAGAAATTCACAAAAGTAGATAATCAAATAGCCAGTAAACAATAAAGTGGATAATAATTTTGATAAAGGCAACAATAGAATACTATACAACAATGAAAAAGGGAAAGTGCCCAAATACATAAAATATAGATAATTCACACAAACATAATGTTGAAAGAAATAAACCAGTCATAAATCCGTTTGCAGTGTATGATTCCACTTACATAATTTTGACCTGCCATCAAACATTTCTAAAGCAAAGCAAACCAAACTAACCCTTTTGGGTTAGTGAATTTGATTAAACGTGAAGAGGGATTCTCTGTTGTAGACAATGTTTTGTTCTTGATTCAGATGCTGGTTACACTCTGTTTCATTGAACAGATAAAAAAGCAGTGGTACATTTACACAGTGGAATACTATGTGGCCATGAAACAGAAAAAATATCTTACCTTTTGCAACAACATAGATGGACTTGGAGATTATTATGCTAAGTGAAATTAGCCAGTTAGTTTGATTCTCACTTATGTGTGTAATCTAATACCACACATATAAATCATATACCATATGATCTTCACTTATGTGTGTTATCTAATGGACAAAATAAACTGATGAATAAAATAGAAACAGGCATGGATACATGGAACAGACTGACAGCTGTCTGAGCAGAGGGGGAAGGTGGAACTGGATGAAATAAGGTGAAGGGATTAGCCAAAGCACATATATACATGACACATAGACACAGACAACAGTGGGGTAATGGCTAGAAAGAAGTGGGAAGGAGAAGGTTGGAGGTAGGCAAAGAAGTAGTGGATGGGACATCTGTATTAGTGTCAACAATAAAAACGAATGGAAAAAGTAAAAGAATATTAATGATAAAAATGTATCAAGCAACAATCTAAAATAACTGATTTTTTTGTAATTAATATATAGTTACATAGTATAGATCTTAGGTGTTTGGTTTGATGGCTTTTGGTAATTGACTGCACCTGTGGAACCACCACCCAAAACAAGGTATAGAAATTCCCCCTGCGCCCCTTCCCAGAACATCCCCCTCCTCCACAGATAAACATCGTTCAGATTTCTACTACAATATGTTGGTTTTACCTGTCCTAGAAATGTATGCAAATGAAATCAGCATATACTGATTTTTTGTTTATTCGTTTGTGTCTGTCTTGCTTAATGGTATGCTTTTGGAAAATTCATCCATGATATTTTATAGCAGTAGTTTGAGCTTTTAACTTTTTTTGTGAATGTACTACAGTTTCTCTATTTTCATTCATGTACATTTGGATTGTTTATAGTGTTTGGCTCTTATAATGAAATGTACAAAATACTGTGTCATTATAAATGATATAGGCTTGTTAATTTTTTTCTTTTATCTTTTGAAATCACTGCAATTTACATTATCAGATAATTGATATTGTTGATCTGTAATATTTTTTACTTTAATCAATAGGGTTATTTGAACCCAAAGCTCAAGTACTTTTAAGTAATACTTGTACTATATTAATTTTCTGAAACTTGAAACATAAAAATCATTTAAACCCTCCTATAATTAATTAATATTTCTAAAACATTTGTTTGTATTTGGAGAATGATGAATATTTCAAGAAGAGTAAGGCTGCATGAAGTGACTTAAACAGATTCCAGTTCCTATTGATAATTAAGTTTGAAGGTAGAAATTAATTATTTTTTGTTTTTGACTTAACACATTCTGTGAAATAGCAACGCACCTTGCATTTTTCTTGGGCTACACATTTAAGAAATCTGAAAGTTTTTGTGACTATTTTAAAAATCTCCTTTAAGTAACCTGATATGTTTATGACTTTAATTACATTGTACAATAAGAAAATTGGTACCTTTAGAGACAAAGTACACTTATTTTTTCTTTGGCAACTAACATTCTTTCCACAAATATTTTTGCTTTAAATAAATTGATGCATCTGATGGTGGTTGTTTTTTTTTTTTATTTAGGTTGTTTTTGCAAAGTATGCACTATCTTGTCCACTGCTGCTGCATTTTCCCTATACAAACATTCACTAAAGGAAAAGAGTGCATTCCTGTCTATGCCTGTAAAAATTCTAAAATTTAAAAAAAAGAGAGAGACGGAAGAAACTGATTTATAACCAGATCGTCAATGTGTAAGAATTATATGTTGTCAGTCCTTCAGTGAAATATTATACTAATAAATTCTAAAATAATTATAATATAATTGAATGTTTAATAAATGAATGTGTTCCATATGATCCCATAAGTTTTCATATATTTTAGTATAAATATAGAAATACAGTCTTTGTGTTTTCAATTTTTTACAGATTCTAATATATATATTTCATACTTTCAATAAAAGAATAATACTTGGAAGAAAAGGATGAAGTGGATATGGGAAAACACACACAAGTGACTGAATGCAGTACTGTCTCACAGACTAGTCATTGGCCTTTGGCTAGACAATGTTACTTGGGTTTCATATGTTTTCTTTGTGGTACTTTTTATTTGCATTGAGGATGTTTATTTCTCAATAATTTTTCAAAATTAATTTTGCCAATTGAGTTCATATAATAAAAATTTAAATTAAGGTCATATTTATTCTCCAAAAGAAAACCTATTTTAAACCCTTAAAAATGAACATTTTATTTTTCTTTTATTTGGTGATCGAGAGATTTCCTTAGAAAATGTCTCTTGTCAATTGGCCAGTTTGTTATCATATTTTCCATAGTCTTTTAATTTTAGTAGACATAAAATTCAGCATGATATTGTAACCTTTCTATTTTTACCTTGACTTGAATTTTATTGATAAAACCTACCTGATACCTGAATTAATATCTACTTTTGTGTATTTAAATGTCATTTTATGATTAATAATAATTATTCCATGTGAAGAAATTTTCAAATTTGTGTGTAGAAGATGTGTCAACCCTTTGTGGAATTTTTCTTAAGCTTTAGCATGTCAATACAAAGTTTTAGTTTTAATTACTTCATATATATTTATGCTCCCATCCAAATTATATAGCAAATTCGCAAATATTAGAATGAAAATCAGGTTATTATAAAACAAAAACTTCTTTATCAACAATAGCTTTTAG